CCTTGGGAATATTTAATGTAAGGAGTAAACGTGTTAATCTCGGCATGATTACTAGTTTCAATGTAAACAGGTTATTTGTACCAAGAATCGAAGATAGTACAAAGGTTTCTTTGTGCTTCGGCTTGAGATGAGTCGTCATCCGTATCGGAATTATTAGTGGAGGTCTCAAATATTTTGATGTTATTAGCTTGCGAGCATTGGTTAATTATTGTCTTTCTTGGATGTTGGTATTCTCGATATTCTCTATTTTGTGCTTAGAGATGCGAACTTCTCAGGATATAACTAGTTATAGTGTTGTGATACTTTACTTTGTTGAAATATTATTATACATATATAGCACTGTTAAAATATATAGTTTATGATCATTAACTATTAATATTTCATAAATATTTAATTTGTTTTTACTACTGTTCTCATTTCAGGGACTTTCTGGCTGAAATTGTGTGAATGTGTACTCACTGTTACACTGTATCTGATGGCACTATTTGGTTTATTTTGATTTGTTCACTGTGAATTTTACCATTTGTCTCTTGGTTAAAGTTTATGTACTCCCAGGTCATCTTATCATGGTTCTATTGGTTCAGTGTTTATGTATTCCCTGTGTGTCTCATCGTGGTTCTACTGGTTAATGTTCATGTATTCACTTTATATCTCATCATGGTTCTACTGGTTAATGTTCATGTACTGACTGTATGTTTCTCATAAGAACTGAAAGGTATGATATATGCATATACATCATGTAAATCTACACTAGCTAAACTAGCATTAAAACTTCAGAATAGCTTTAAACATTTTTAAGCAAAATTGGGTTTAAACTTTGAAACATCAAAGTCTCTAAGAAATAAAAAGGCTTGTCTTCAAGTAGAGACCCCTGCTGTCAAAGTTTGACATTTAATTACCATAACTGCCTGTTTTGCTTGGATCCTGAGTGCAGCAGTCAAATGGGAGCCATGCTAAGGGTATGACATGCAAATGAAGCTGCACCCATTTTAAGGGTCAAGTTCACACAATGCTCTTATGGTAAAGTTAGAAAGCCAATATATTTTTCTCTACTGAAAGTGATGAATGTAAAAATTCATATGCAAGTGCAACAGTGTTAAACTTGGTCAGCAAATTGATAAGACTTCAAATAAGAAAACCAATCAAACACAAAGCCAGAATCAATGTGGCATAGTGCAGACTCAACACCAATCTGGAATAAAACTCTGACATGAACACATCATGTGAACTGAGTCAACCATTTGAGTTTCATATGTGCATCATGTGACCAGGCCTTTGTGTGCTCATTTTAAAAAATTTACTTACCGAAAGAAGTCTCTGAATTTTCAAACTCTGTGTTTTAGGATTTTTTCCTCTGTAAAGCAAATAAAAATAGTACTGCATTCATTTAGAGTAATTGTTGCCGATTACTTTTATTCTTATTTTGTAAAATATTTATTGATAGTAGACATTTCAGTACACCAAATACCGTTATGAACAAAATTCCCAGGAGCAGAAAAGCTTTTGTGCTAATAACAAAGATTTATAATATGAGCATGTATCTGACAATATTTTATGTGCTTGCAGACTTAGTATTGTAATAGGCATTGAAATTATAACATACATGAATTTCCAAAGTTATTTTTTATACACCCTGTATAAATACAAATAATGGTCTCATTTAGTCTGTTGTAATATATTTTTCTTTCCAATGATAGAATATTAAAAAGTTTTGCTCTGCCACCATAGAAGCATTACATTACAATTTCAAGCTTGACTGCTGCCAGCCTGAGGGATGAGTTGTTATTAGTCATTAGCCTTAGGGATGAGTTTGTATTTTTGTTTTCTTTAAGTAAATAACATTGAGATTACTATCAAGATTCAAGTAATATTTTTAGGGAAGCTCAGGCCTCTTATTCCCAAAGTTAGGCAGGTTGAGCATCCCAAGACAGACAGCTTGCCAACACAAGATATGAGTTATGTTACAAACAGGACTGTTCTGGAATATCAATGATTGTAAAATAGAGTCAAATATCATCTTGTTTTTTAATACAACTCATAACTTGAGTTTACAAGATGTCTTTGTTCATCAAAGTATGTTTCATCTTATATTTCTGAAATTGTCTGCTTGGAAAGGATTTTTAATATCTTGTCAAGGAGTAATCATTTTAGTTGTTGTGGTAATAAGAAATAAAAATATTTACTGTATTTCCACAGGCTTATGTAAACCAGGGAGATGTTTGGGAGAAGCTGAGAGAGAATGAGTGCAAGCCTGACTTCAAAGTTTGCACCTGCTCACAAGTTTCACAAATGTCTCCAAAGCTTGCATAAGCCAGTGCTAACATGAAAAAACATCTTTTATTTTTTTTTTTGAAATAAGAAATAGCAAGAAACAAAGAAATTTTAAATAAATGTTTTAATTTTCTTGTTAACATGTATTGATGATTATTTTGCAAATTCTCTTTGATTGACATAATTGATCAAGCTCACCTCAGTTTCACAGGCTAATAAAAACTCAGCCATTGTCCAAATAGCAGAAGTGTTTCATGGTTATTACATTAAATTATATGACATATATTTACCACCATACTTTTTCTTATTTAGAGACTTGCTTTCAAAGTTCAGTTGATTGAAATTTGCTATCGTAATTTTAATGGCTCTACTTTGTTAATGTTAATCTGCTCACTGTTTTTCTCACAAAAAGTATAAAAGATGAAGCGACTCAAAATGGCATGTGGTACGTATGTGTTTTAAACTGTTAATTGGCTTCCTCAAAAAGAACTATTTCAACTTAAGTGAACTTTGCCACCATTTTTGCTCAAGAAGACTCTTATCTAGAAAATTATTCTGATGGTGTTGATTTGTATTTCAACTTTTTTCAAATTAAGTCAGTGTAGTGTGTATATGATCTTCAGTTGTTCATCTTTAAGTGTTGCTTTAGAGTGCCATAGACAATCTCAGCATATCATTCAAGTTTTATTTGCCAACAATACATACATTCATTGGTGTAACTTAACTTTTCTGACCATTTGCCCTTATTGTAAGTTGGACATTTAAATTGGTTGCTCTGTATAAAATTCACCTGGCATACAACACATTATCTATTAACAGTTGTAAGTCATTTGAGGATTTTCTGAAGGGGTATCTTCTCCCAACTCCCCCAATATTTATTAATGTTTAACTCAGATATTCAAACCTTATTTAATACTGTTATGTACATACCCACCAAGCATAAAGTTTATGACCATTGTGTTATTGTTTTCATTCTATGAATAAACATTTATTGACCAAACAAAGAAATGAAACTAACACAAAATTACTCCATTTTTCAGAAATATTAAACGTTATATTTTACTCTTTCGCTATAGCCTCGCACGACTTTAAAATTTACGACAATTTGTTTGTATGAAGTACGGCAATATTAAATGTGGTTAGTCGTTTTTGTGAATTTTGAATGTGGAGCAAAACTTACGAAAGTAACGAATATCTTATTAAATTAATGGTTCATTTCTTTTGTAAACACTGCTTAAAGATACTGAAATTATTAGTTAAGACTACAGAATAATTAAATTACACCTTGAAATCTATCAGGTCAACCGGACTTTTTTAATTTCGTGGTAAATTATTTTCGTTCTCGGGGTGTGTATCAAAGAATATTTTATCAATGTTACTGTAAGCACCAGCCGACGTGCGCGAGCGAGATACATTGTTTAGAAAATCCTAACAGAATGGTTGCTATTGAAGATTACCTAGTCTTTTGTTAAAGGACACCTGTGGTGTATTTGTACTTGTCAGTTCGACGAACAACATTTAAACATGTTTCGGATTTCCGAAAATTGCTAAAACCTCGACGAATTACCAGCCGACAGGAATTTATTGCCCTGAAAATCAAATGTACTTAAAAATCGTTGACTTGACAGTACAAATAGCTTGAAGTGCACATTTTGACGGTTTTGAGTATCATTTTCATCCAATATAGCTAAGGGTGAATAGAGCTCTTATCGCGTGCGAACTGAATTATAAAATTACGTAACTTACGTTTTTATCTTGTTTCCTAGATGAAATTTTTGGTACAAACGCGTGATCTATCACTCGCTCCTATGATTAAGACCCATTTTGCGGCATATTCTCTGAATTTTGATGTTTCAATGGAAGAGTTACGACTGATTGTGTGACAAACACTTCAGATGTCACGGATGGACGACTACATTTATCAACAATATAGAACAGATTAAAATGTTTCCCTCCGAATATCGTTCCATTTTAAACACAAAGTAGAGGTTTGCAAAAAAAGTTTTTTTACTCAGTAAATATATCTCAGGGAAATAACTATGTATCAGCTGATGATGTTTTAAACAGAAGACGAGGCGTCATCTTTAAAACAAAGTTTTTTCCACCATTGTTTGCTGTAGTAATTCAACATTTAGATTACGAGCTTTCATCTACAAAATGATAGTTGATGAGTACAAAGCCAAAATCAACTATCGCATCATGGAAATTGAGAGCGAGTAATCTAATTGTTTTAGTAGAATCATACTGGTATACATAAAGGAAAGTGTCGCTATAGTTTTCCTTGATTTGTTGTTTCATCAACACAACACAGAAAGAAAATTCCCATCTATAGACAAAATTTTACCAGCGCTGAATCAATGAATCTTGGTCAGCCTCTAAGGGTCAATTACATGAGCCCGGTAGCCGAGATTTAGCAAAGTTTTAATCATTTTGGTAAATAAAAAAGATTAAATACTTCACATAAATAACTTATTTGAGCAATTTAAGATTTGCATCGAAAGTGCATTTTCACATCAGCCTAGTAGCTAAGTCAGCCCCCCGTCGAGGACCTTAGCCGCTCTGTTGGGGAATTCCTGGTGCCACCCCTGTTTGATCCATCTGTGATAGCAATTTTAATATACTTGACTGAGCTCCACAAAAAAGCCAAAAAGGTTTAGCATATTTGACAATAAACACGACTAGAAACGCCATATCGGTATTCACACTACCTAGCAACAATAAACAAATTGTTTGCTTTTTATCAAAAGGTGCATTTCATCATCATTACATTATTAAGCACATAGATCAATTCATGGTATTTGACTATTTGTTAGTATAGCATCAGTGTTTTTGTTTTACTTCACCAAACAACATGTTAACAATGAATACAAAACTGACTAATTTACATCAAAACAACTAGCCTCACTTCTGCACACTTTTCCATTGTTGTTAACATCTTTACAAAATGTTCCTTCAACAAATTCTTCAACAGTTGCAGGCTTCCCTTTGTAAACTGTATAGTATGCAAAGTTAAAAGTAAAGGATTTACCAAAGATTATCTGATGCTAATACAATATTGGTAAAAATTTCAAGGCATGTATTTGGTTCACTAGGGGTAATATGCAGTTTACATATATACAACTTTATTAGGTAACTGCAATGAAATATTTTTTTTTCTTTAAGTTAGGTTGTATTGCATATAAAAAGCTAAAAGAAATACAAGAGGACACAAACAATTGGTTAAACAATTATCTTCTACAACACAAAAAAGGTGTTCAGAAAGATACCTTTCAGTTTTTAATATTTTGCTCCAAAGATGATTCATTATTCTTATCAGCTGGAATGCTTTGCAGGTGTAGCCTAACAAAATATCAATAACATATCTATTGAAATTTTTAATATTGCTTTGCATGTGACATCCAATACATCCTGACAGCCTAACATTTCAGTGGTAGAAGGAAAATGTAAAACCGAGGATGTTAAGAGCCTACAGTAAATTACCAAATACGAAACTGCTAGCAAAAATCTGAAATAATAGAGCTTCCATATATTGTATAAACAATGAGGCCTCCTGTCATCACATAAATAATACATTAAAACATTGCTTACTTTGCTCTGGGCTTTCAGTATCAAGCACTCATTTGTTCGAAGAAACGTTGTGAAAGCCATAATAGTCTATAATATATACGGTATTGATCAATCTTCTTACTGGACTCACTCTCACTTAAACGAAGTATGCAGTTGAGTTTCATATTGATGCAAGTAATGGAAATTACCAAGATGATAAATACTTTCACTAAGACCATTTCAGAACAGAACGAAAGCAACAATCTAATTGACTCTTTAAAGCGTTTACAAGTTCTTTCTCCTGAGCAACAATGTCTTTCTACACGACTATTCTTCGACTGATGCTATCAATGATGCCACTTGCTTTTAGTTGCTACGGTAAACAACAGCCTCGAGGCCCTCGAATATGTCGTCGCATGGCAGAAATTCTGCTTGTGAATCGCCAGTATGAGGACAAATCTACAGAATGATAATTCTCGTAAAAGAACAAGGAAGTGCTGCCGTATTCTAAATTACATCTGTATTATTTTCGATGTTCACTGCACACAGCAAGCAATACAGCAATTGTCTGACTTTCAATATCATCAAGGTTACTTTATGAATATTACATGATGGAGGCTATGACGTCACAGACTTATTCAGCTTTCACTTTAGCTTCTTTCTCAAAAACGCAAGTACGAACTACATCTTTTTTATTTTCATTCCTTTCAAGCATCTGTTCATACGACTACTTTGTGGGAAAATTTTACGTATGTCAGTTATATTAAAAATACGTCGCTTAACAAACCTCGACAATATTTTTTATTTGAAGTCATTGATTGAAATTTTAACAAGCAAGTGCATGGTGATGGCGAAAGTTGGCAAATTTCCCTGTAACTTTGGCTTCACGTTCAGGTTTGCATGATTCATAAACTATTTCCTAAAATATAATAAATACTTACATTTATGATGAAATGTATACTTTCATTTAGCTCTTGTGACATATTTATTAGCACATTTTAAAATATCTTAAGAGAAATGCAAGCTTTGAGCTGGATTTGTTTTGGGTGAACATGGCTGAATTCTTTGAAGTTGTTGATTATGTTGATATGTTCAACAGAGTTCGTACACGATACACAGAAACTTGAATATTCTTGAAAGTCCTCGAATTAAGATGTCCTTCAAAAATCTTGGATTTCAATTTTTTTCAAATTTTTGTGACTAATTTCCTTTTCATCAGTGAATTTAAAAATGTAATCTTTATGTCGGAAATTTGAAGCAACAAACCAACATGGCGGCTTCACATCACATAAAAATTCTTGACTTGCAAAGAAAAAGATTGGACTTGCTGAAATCTTGCAAACAAGCCGATTAAACGACTATACTAATAACCTATGGTAAGATTTGAAAGATGTGCATCTGCGATTCGTCTAACTGGCAAATGCTGTAAAGTTTTCATTGATGCATGATTCATGGCTTAGTTTTTCAAATGATACAGACAATATATATTTATTAAATATCATGCTCTTATTAAAACCCGCAGGCAAGCTTTTAAATGTAACAGCAAATAAAACATTTCTGTCAATTACATATTCAGTTAACTGTCGACAAGCAGTTCAGTGTGTTATCCATTGAACTAAAATAGATGGAAGTCTAAACGTCTGTCGATATTTTGATACCAGTAGAGCCCACTCTTTCCTCGCAATATAAACGCACGGCCGATAGAAGCGAAGGAAAAGATAACTTGTATGATTTACAAATCTCCGAAAACAAAACAAAAGCCCTTTTTTATTTGGCAAAAAAACTTTTCAAATGAAATTTAACATTAAGCATACACAACTTTTCGGCAATTAAAGTTTTGTAAAGAAAGCCCTAGCTTTTATCTATTACAGGCAGCCTTCATTCTATGATAGTTCAGTGGTGTTATCACAGTTCTCTTTGCTCCAATTTTGCACGATTTTATACTTTAGTAAGCAGTTTGGTGAGAGGATACAAATTGAACAGGTGACGTAGCCTGTTTCATTTTTTCAAAGATTATGATTTGTTTTCACCACTTTCAAAGAGAAAGCAGTTTTGGTGTGCTAGTGAGGTCTATTAAACCAGACGGCAGCTACTTACCATACGCTTTAGTAAATTTTATTTTGAATTTGAGACCAACGCCCGTTTTCTAAACGCTCTCTCACGCTAATCGGGTTCTCTCTAATTAATAGCAGAGTGATTTCTTCTACAATTGCAAGATTTTTGCTAAAATATTCCAATAGAATAAGCTTCCACAATTACATGAAATGTTTTACGAGCAGTATGTGAATTATTTCTGCAATGCTCAGCAATACATCTCGTTTTGCCAGAGTTATATATGTTTTAACAGACTGACTACGGAATAGTTCCTTTCTTATTCTCTCACAATGATGTTTGAATATGAGTAGCTACTCAAAACAAGCACTTCTTCTAATGTTTGGTGTTCTCCATGGTTTAGTAAAAATTCTTTTTGCAAGGGTAAAAGAGAAAAAAAATTTCTTCCTCACTTCATAATCATAAATGCATGTGCGTTGATACAAACTTTTATTATACGCACGCAGCAGCACGCAGATGTTCATTCTTTCCGGCAAATTTCCTTTAGCGATGGCAAGAATTGTATTTTTTTAATGAACATCAATGATAAAACACCCATTAAGAATTTAAAATTACATATATGTCAACTAAATCTATTTCATTTTATATTACGTATTGTTTGCTGGGCAGTACTATTTATCTAAAGATCTATTTATTTTGCTGTTTTCTAACTGATTAAGAAAATCATCTTCAACGGACTCCTCCTTATGCTTTAGGAAATACATTTCGTCATCATCTAGATCATCATTAAGATAACTTCTCCCTAAATCAAAAGAAAATTCTATAATTACTACACGAGGATTCATGTTTAGATATGTTTAGATAAGTCCTTGGTCATGATTTCGCATGGCAATATACTCACCATCAGATGTCTCTTGAATAGGCAAAATAAGGTGAAACTCATCGGCTGAATTAGATCCTTTATTGTAACCAACCATTCTACTTCTACATATAGAAAGTTTTGAAAGTACGTTTAAGTTTTGTAATATAAAGGATGTCTCGAATAAAGTACAAAATATTGATTAAATCACGAATGGCAATATATTGTTGATTTAATGATGTAGTGAATGATTTAAACCCGTGAGTATCGTTACATGTTGTATGTAGTCTTTATCCAGCTCACAGTCCTAGGGCCGGTTGCACAAAGCCTGAATAGTGTTATCCATTGGATAGCAAAAATTTCAAACTTGTGGAAAAGGCGTTTATATTTTTCTTACGGCAAAGAAATTTTGTAATCTTTGAAACAATATTTTATTTCAGTGATTGAACAGTTCAAATCGTATATTTTTCTTTTATAAGAGATTTTATGAGCGTTCAGAAAAATTTGCTATCCAGTGGATAACGCTATCCAGTCTTCGTGCAACCAACCCCTGCGGCAAAAAAAAAGAAATTGTTTCATTTTCAATGACTTTGACGGTGATCTGAAGTATTTACACATTCTTGGAACTTTTGTTGTCTTTAAACATCCGGGGAGTTTTATTGCGCACCTTTTGAACTGCTTTAAACTTCTTGACTGTTTTCGTTGTCACACCTGCAAAAGTACGAGAATCAAATAATTCTTTCAATTTCAGTAACATTGGTATTTCATAGATGTGTGTATAAAGGGTCCATTTTCATATACTAGTAAGGGGCCCATGTACCATGGCACAATGGCTTAATGTCCACTCTTGGACATGTCCGAATTCAAGAAAAGTTAAATTTTTTTGGTTAGTTTCCTTACAATAAGCTATAGCACATCCTTTCCAATTTAGAAAGATGACTTGCTGAGTTTAAAGTTTTTATTATCTAGAAATATTCTGGGCTTTTTTACAAGAACAGGTAAAAAGTATTGATTAAAGTCACATTTACTTCAATGGCACACGCTGTTATCTGGAAAAAAATTCCGGCATTTGTATCATAAACTTAACTTAATTCTATTTTCGTACCATGATTTCCTATGCAAGCTTATGTACATTCTATACTAGTACTATTTACACGATACTGGGACTTATACCGTGTCGGAATCGAAATCCAATCATAAATCCAATCTGATGAAGCAAAAAAAATTAAAATAAAACATTATTTATCTCTACAATTACGTCATTTCCCCTGCAACACGAACTAGTGCATGTGGAGTAGCCGTATGGCGGCAAATGACAGTCGAAATCTCGACGCATTTCTAACTGAAAGGCCGTCCCATTTGGACTGATAGGATGATTGAACTCTTGCCGTAGTGAATCATGAAGTTTGATTGTATGTGGAGGCAGACTGGAGAAGTATTGAATCGAAATTCGAGCGAATTGCAATTTGGAAATGACTGTTTGAATTGCAGCCAGAAAGGGGGTGGATGAACTTGATACACGGGAATAAACATTGTGAAACTCTCTGGTCACTGTGCATGGAAAGTGCTAAGACAAAGAAAAGAATAGCTGCGAAGGTGAAATATTTGTTAAACAAGTATTAAATGATTAGACAGGGTCGTAGCTGGGGGCTATGAAATTCATATATTCTGTTGCACCCAACCATTGAGTTGTATAAGACCTCAAAATCACAGAGAACTCAATGCGTCCAACTCATATCTGTTGCATCGATGAATAACACCCTTCCCTAACTAATGTTGTAGCAGTGGCCCTGGGAAAGTGTTGTCCTGAAATTTTTAATGTCTTTAGTGAAATTTGAGATGCAGCCCTTCAACAACTAACCTTGAATATAGAGTGAATTTTTAAAATGCACGAATTAGAATCAAGTCTCTTTTTTTGTATCTTGCAAGTGTTTTAGGAGAGGTTAGTTCAGTGTGATCAGAGTTGGTAATTTTTATTACCAGATCCAGTTTGGTGAGCTTTGACAGCCCCACCTGTTTTAAATGATCACAACATATGGAACAAGGGGAAGCAATCTACACAGATCAATGCTCATAATGTATTAAACATACATTGTCACATTGGATTAGTCACTGTGAATGAACATCTTGTCATTCTACAAATTAATATTTTGCAACCAAGATGCCAATGAGGAATTATTATAGACAAGACGATGCAGTTTAAAAAATAATGAGAATTTCAAAAAAAAATAGTTGCTCTATGGCTATATTATCATGTGCAGAAAGAATGTAGTGCAACATTTTGAAGCTGGCCATTCTTCTGGTGCATTCAAATAACTATCAATTTCAAGTTTGCACAAATTCAGATGCAACCTATATTATTGCACAGCGGCACTGGAAGAACTACAATGGGGGGGCACATCTTTAAAATCGTCTTCACCAATTTGGCAGTTGTGTTATGTTTTCCACTTATTGTATGCTTTCAACACCCCTGATAATGCATGTTAATGTTTTGTTTAAGGAGGAGTATTCATTTTAATTAAAGTAATTAGCTTGTGATTTTTTACTGAAAATAATTTTTTCCTCATTCCAGGAACTTGCTTTTAAAGTTGAGTAGAAACTCACTGTCATATACGATCATGTTCAAAGTAGCATATGGTATGTATTTCATTTAAAGCTCAGTA